GGCCCTATTCAAGGCTATTCTATACACTGCTGCATACTCGCAGCAGCACCCACTGCAGCAGCAGCAGCAGCAGCAGCAGCAGCAGCGGATGCGGCAGCAGCAGGTGCAGATGCAGCAACAGCAGCGACAGGAAGCTGCTGCTGCTGCTGCAGCAGAGGGAACGTTGTCGTCTTTCTCAGGTGTATTGACAGATGCTGCAGTGACACCGGCAGGAGAAGCCAGGCAGCGTGCTGCTGCTGCTGCTGCTGCTGCTGCTGCTGCTGCTGCNGCAGCAGCAGAATGGGAAACAATTTAACCACCGAAAGAGACAAACTAAAAACAATTAAAAAATACAAATTAAAATCAAAGGAGACAGAACAGAGACAGCTAAAGGAGACAGTATGGAGACAGCAAAAGGAGACAAACTAAAAAAGATAAAGGAGACAATGCAGAGACACCTGAAGGAGACAAACGGAGACAGTTGCGGCAGCGAAGCGAAAGGAGACAGAGCAGAGACAGCTGAAGGAGACAGTATAAAAAGACAAAGAGAAAAGGAGACAGTAAAGGGAGACAAATTAAAAAAAGATAAAGGAGACAGATGAAAACAAAGTGGAGACAGTGAAAGGAGACAGCCAAAGGAGACAGCAAAAGGAGACAATACGGAGACACCTAATCATTAGTTAATTAATTATACTGATCAGCTGCAGCAGCCTACATTCTTTTTCTCTGTCTCTGTTTCTCTCTGTTTTTTTTGTCTCTCTATTTCTTTTCCTTTGTCTCTGTTTCTCCTCTCTGTCTCTGCAGCTGTCTGTCTCCGTTTCTGTGTCTCTTTTTTTTCTATTTTTCTGTATCTCATTTTCTGCGTTTCTCTGTCTATTTGTCTCTGTATCTTTATCTCTTTGTCTCTATTTCTCTATTTCTCTGTTTCTCTCTTTCTCTCTCTCTATCTGCTGCTGTCTCTGCTGCTGGGGCCCAGCATCAGCTGCTGCTGTCTGCTGCTGTCTGCTGCTGCAGCGCCTCCAACACCGTAACCGCAAATCTTTTTAAAAAGCGTTTCTAAATCATTCAGCTGGCTAGCTGTTAGCTAGCTGTTAGCTAGCTGCTAGCTAGCTGCCAGCTAGCTGCCAGCTGGCTGTTAGCTAGCTCCTAGCTAGCTGTTGGTTAGCTGTGTTATCTAGCTGTTAGCTAGCTAACAGCTACCCCATAGCTAGCTAACAGCTAGCTAGTAGCGAGTGTTTAAAGCATGCAGCTAGCTAGCGCTTAGCTAGCTAGCAAACAGCTAGCTGCTAGCGAGTTCTTAAAATACGCAGCTAGGTAGCACCTAGCTAGCTGTTAGCTAGCTAGCTGTTAGCTAGCTAGCTGTTAGCTAGCTAGCTGTTAGCTAGCTGAGCGGCTAAATATTTTAAATCTCTGGGGGGCCCCACCTAGCCAAAGGCTAGCTAGCGCTCGTTAAGTCCCCTGTTGTGTGCGGAGCAGCTGCCGTACGAGCCTAAAGATTGCTGCAGCAGCTGCTGCTGCTGCTGCTGTTGCTGCTGCTGCTGCTGCTGCTGCTGCTGTTGTTGCTGCTGCTGCTGCTCCGGTTCTTGGGGTTGCTCGCGCGGCTGATGGACAATGACGCCGGTGGGGGGGGGTGCTATTGTTGTTGCTGCAGCATTGGTTTGCTGCTGCAGCTGCTGCAGTTGCTGCAGCGGGTTCGTGATGAGACGGTGTAAGAAGGAGACAGCTGCTGCAGCTGCAGAGAGTGGGGTTTCCGTCTGCTGCTGCTGCTGCTGCTGCTGCTGCTGCTGCTGGCCCCTCGACGTGTCTCCTCTGTACCGGTGGTAGTAGTATGCGGGGTTGGTTGGATCTGTGGGGTTAACGGAGACAGCTTGGGGTGTATCTGCAGCTGCAGCAGACGCGTTGCAGCCTCCTAAGGAGACAGGCACTGCAGCGCCCCTCGCTGTAACCGGTGTTGCTGCTGCTGCCCGAAAGCTGCTGCACCCGCTGTTCTCTCCTGCTCCTGCTGCTGCTGCTGCTGCTGCTGTTGGGGGAGCTGTTGTTGCTACGCCCCCAGCCAAGAGGTTGGGGGCTATCACGTGTGTGAGCTGCAGGCGAGGGACAACCCCACCATGTCTGCTGCTTGCGCTGCTGCTGCTGCTGCTGCTGCTGCTGCTGCTGCTGCTAGAGAAGGTGCTGATGCCTGTTGCTGCTGCTGTTGCTGTTGCTGCTGTTGCTGCTGTGGGGGCTGTAGGCTGTTCTTCAGCATCTGATGGGCCCACAGGCAGCACCCGAGGAGTTCTGCTGCTAAGAGGAGACAGCTGCAGCAGCTGCTGCTGCTGGTTGGCGTCATGGTGAGCACGATGCTGCTTCATCACCGACGTAGGCCTCTGCTGCTGCTGCTGCTGCTGCTGTTGCTGCTGCTGCTGCTGCTGCTGCTGCATGAGGCGGATTGCACGTTTCTGGTGTAGCTGTAGCTGCAGCATTTGCAGCTCCTTTTGCTGCTTCTCGCGCTGTCTCCGTTTGAACTCGATTTCGAGCTGCTGCAGCTGCAGCTCTCTGTGCTGCTGCTGCAGGTGTCTCTGCTGTCTCTCCAGCTCCTGCTGCTGCGCCAGCAGCATAACATCACTGATGCTCAGCCGCTGCAGTGTTGGATGACCGTCAGCCCTCGCTGCAGAGACACTGTCTCCTGTCTCTTGCAGGGTAGTTCCTGCTGCTGCTGCTGCTGCAGCTGTGCCAGCGTTGCTGCTGCTGCTGCTGCTGCTGCTGCTGCTGCACACGGGAGAAGCAGCAGCAGCAAGCGGGGCATACTGCAGCAAGTCCACCGGGTGGGGACGACGAGGCGTACAGAAAATCTCTGCAGCATACAGTGTCCTTCGTGGCGGCTGATACATGTTCCTGCTGCTGCTGCTGCTGCTGCTGCTGCTGCTGCTGCTGTTGCTGGAGTCATCGCTGCTGCTGTTACTGCTGCTGGCTGGTAACGCTGCGGACAATGTTCGGCTCTGATCGCCGCCGCTTCTGTTTTTGCTGCTGTCGCTGCTGCTGCTGCTGCTGCTGCTGCTGCTGCTGCTCCTATCGTGTGGGGCTGCGGGCGTGTTGCTGCTGCAGTATATGCTGCGAGTTGCTGCAGGCGATGCTTCTCCCCAACGGGCTGATGTGCCATCGGATACTGTTTCTATATGATGCGCGTTGCTGCTGCTGTTGCTGCTGTTGCTGCTGCTGCTTCTGTTGCTGTCGCTTATGTTGCTGTATTGTCTCTCTGTCACGCACCTACTGGGGTTGTAGCTGTGGATAGGCAGCTCCCCCAGGTACAGAGGGGGGACAATAGGCATCTGCTGCTGCTGCTGCTGTTGTTGCTGCTGCTGCTGCTGTTGCTGCTGCTGCTGCTGCTGCTGCTGCTGGGTTCTGCCCTCGCGCAGGGGGGGGGAGAATGAATCTGCGATCGGGGCGTTGCTGCTGTACTGCTTCGCCCCGTCTCCTTGGGCTTGGGGTCCTCTGCTGCTGCTGCTGCTGCTGCTGCTGCTGCTGCTGCTGGAGTTACAGAAGCCGTTGCTGTTGCAGATGTTTCTGTCGTTCTGGTTTTCTCTCCTGCTCATGCTGCTGCTGCTGCTGCTGCTGCTGCTGCGCCAGAAAGTGTCTCTGTCTCTGTCTCCTCTCGCCGTAGCAGGTGTCCCCTCCAGCGGTGTCTTTGTCTCCTCGTGATTTTCTGTTGAAGAGACAGTGCATGCAGCCTGCTGGTTCGTTCCTATCTCTGTTGCTTCTGCTGCTGCTGCTGCTGCTGTTGCTGCTGTTGCTGCTGCTGCTGTTGCTGCTGCTGCACCGGCATCGTCTGATATATGTGGGGGTTTGCTGCGAGCAGCAGGAGCCGCCAGCCCCACCCGCAGACAGCGCCTGGTGGTTGTGTTGCCGAGGCCTGGATCAGCAGCATCAGAAGAAGCAGCACTACAGCTGCTGCTGCTGCTGCTGCTGCTGTTGCTGCTGCTGCTGCTGCGAGGCTGAGGAGACACTGGGTTGTCTTGGGGTATCAGACCACCTAGCATCGCCGCTGCAGCATCGACAGCCCGCCGCCAAGCGGCCTCGGCTGTCTCCTCGTTGTCTCTGTCTCCCCAGAAGCGTATGAAGTCCTGCTGCTGCTGCTGCTGCTGCTGCTGCTGCTGTTGCTGCTGCTGCTGTTCTGCTGCTTCTGGCAGCCGCTGCACCAGCCGAGGAGTCGCCAAGGCTGCCACGGCGTCCAAGCCCGAGCGGATCCAACGAACACAAGCAGCAGCAGGAGAGGGATACGCAGCCTCTTCTTCTGCTGCTGCTGCTGCTGCTGCCGTTGCTGCTGCTGTTGCTGCTGCTGCTGCTGCTTCAGCTGCTTCTGTGTCTTGACGCGGCGTCTTCGGGTCTTGGGAGCTGTTGCTGTTGGTTTGCTGCTGGTGCTGCTCTGAGCTGCTACTGGCTGCTGCATGTGTGACTCTGCGCTGCTGCTGCTGCTGCTGCAGCTCTTGCTGCAGCTCTTGCGGCAGCAAAGCCAGCGCTTGCTGCTGCACTCCCTGCGTTTGCTGCTCTGCCGCGGCGACAATCCGAGGAGACAAAGCGGAGACACTTCGCTGTCGACTGAGTTCATCCATAGGAGCAGCAATTTGCTGCTGCTGCTGCTGTTGTTGCTGCTGCTGCAGTTGCTGCTGTTGCAGCTGCTGCAGCAGATGCTGCCCCTTGCCGAGATGGTCCGATGCGTCGTAAGACCAAAAGAGGCCTGCAGGGGGCCCTGCGGGCCCTCTCCTAGCAGTATCCTCACCCTGCTGCTGCTGCTGCTGCTGCTGCTGCTGCTGCTGCTGCTGCTGCTGCAGTGTTAAGAAGTTGTTGAACGCCATCCGTCTGTCTCTTTCTGTGGTTGGGGACTCGAGGGAGCGGCGGCGTTGGAGCCCATAGCGGAGGGGGCTCTCGCGGCTGTGGGTTTGCTGCTGCTGTCTCCAGCCTTCTCGCTGCTGCAGCAGCAGCAGCTGCTGCTGCTGCCACGACAACCGGGTGGAGGAATCTGTGTTGAGAGCAGCACCAAAAGGAGTGAGCTGCAGCACAGGCTTATAGGGTGCTGCTGGTATAGCTTCTTGTGGGTGTGCAGCAAAGCTCTGCTGCTGCCGCTGCTGTTGTTGATGCTGCTGCTGCAGCTGCTGCAGTTGCTGCCGCTGCTGCTGCAGCGATACCTGCTGCTGCCCCATGAGTTTTAGGGCTGAGAAGCGAACAGACTCTGCTGTTGAGCATGCACTGATCTCAGATATCCCCCGCCGCAGTGTCTGTTGTTTGCTGCTGCTGCCAGGCCCCTTGCTGCACTCAGCAGCAGTTGCTGCTGCAGCTGCTGCTGATGTGGTGGAGGGGGCTGCGGGGGCTGCTGCTGCAGCTGGTACTGGTACGCCTGCTGCTACTGGTAGCAGCACTCCTGTAGCTGCTGCTGCTGGGGTTGCTGCTGCTGCTGCTGCTGCTGCTGCTGCTGCTGCTGCAGGGGTTTTCGTTGGCAGAGGTACAGCAACAGCAGCTACAGGTAGAGCTGCTGCTGCAGCTGGTGCAGCAAGAGTACTTGTGTTTGCTGCTGGGCCTTGTGTGGGTGTTGCAGCAACAGGCCGGCGTCTGGATTTTGCTGCTGCTGCTGCTGCTGCTGCTGCACCAGCAGCAGCAGCTGCTTGCTGAGCAATGCACCTCTCATGATAGTGTCTTAGAGCTTGCTGCTGCATATAGATTCGTCTCTGGTGTTTAAGGAGTTGCTGCTGATGATACTGCTGCTGCTGTCTCCTAGTTCTCCGCTGATGAGTAACAAAAGCGATGATGCTGTTTTCTAGTTCCCCATTGCTGCTGCAGCAGCTGCTGCTGCAGCCGCTGCTGCTGCTGCTGCTGCTGCTGTTGCTGCTGCTGTTGGTGCTGCAGCAGCAGCTGGTGCCGCTATGTACTGTAACGATGCGTCTGGCTGCATTGAGCTCCGCCATAAGACTCTTAAGCCTTGGATGCCAGAGTAGGTTAGCTGCAGCAGCAGGAGACAGCAGCAGCAGCTGTCTGGTGA